GTAGGGCGGGAGGGCTGGGGGCGGGGGGGGGGACGGGGCTGCTGTGGGGCAGCCCCCAGCCCCCAGCCTCCTCACCTTCTCTCCAGGCAGGCCTCGGTCCCCAGGGTCACCCTGTGGGATGAGAAGGGGAGTGAGCATTGTCCACCCTGAACAGGAGCTGAGCAGGCACGAAATGCCCACTCAGACCCCCATGGGGAAGGGGGCACTCACCCGTGCACCAGGGGGGCCGCGGGGACCCTCCACGCCCTGCAAGAGAGAGACACGCTCAACAGTGGGGTGTGGGGGGAAGGGAGGGGATCCTGGGTGCTCACCCACCACCCCCTGCACACCAGGACCCCCGGCTCTCCCAAAAACATTGCCCGTCTTGCTGTCCCGCTGCCTCCCACGCCAGAAACCCAGCACCTACCCTCTCTCCAGGCAGGCCAGGGGAGCCAGCATCGCCCCGGGCACCCTTCGCGCCATCCTCACCAGGGTCCCCAGGGTCCCCCTGCCAGGGAAGGGCACAGCGGTTAGAGGGTACTGCCCTGCCGCCGGCACAAACGCCTGTGCCGAGCCCGTGCCAGAGCCCATGCTGAGCACCTCTGCTCATGCTGTGTAGTTTAAGGGCGGGATAATGGCAAAGGTCTCAAAATACAGGCACAGGATGAAAAAAAGAGGTTGCTGGGCTCAACGCAGCTCCCGGGTGGCCAGATAGTGGTTGCAGAAGAAATGCAATGAGCAGCACTGCTGAGCCAGGAGCCAGCTGAGCCACGACCAGGGACCATGATGCCATCCAGCACAGAGCACAGCCCTTGGCCAAAACTGCCCCAAGCCTAAGCTGGCTCGTAAAAGTGGAACACCCAGAGCGTGGGGTACTGCTGTGGGATCCCTGTGGGGCTGGGGAGCCATGAGCATGCTGGCTCCTTCAAGGACCTCAGCCCTAGAGGGACCTCATACCCTGGCACCCTCCTCCCAGCACTGGGCAGAAGCATCAGCCCATGTGCCCCCCGGACCCCATGTGCCCCCCGGATCCCACATGCCTCTCAGCCGTGGTGCACGTCAGCTCCACGTGGCAGGGGCTGTTTTGGGCAGGGAGGGCTTGGTGCACCACGATCCCGGTGCACCATGATCCCAGTGCACAGGCAGAGCCCAGCAGGGGACAGCACAGGGCACCCCACTGCCAGCATCCCAGGGGACCCACTTGTTACCTTCTCACCCTTCTCCCCCACTCCTCCGAGCCCCACGTCGACCTGTGGGGCAGAGAGGGGCTGTCAGGGTACATGGAGTCGAGCACCAGCCCATGGGAAGGGAGAGGAGTGGGGGCAAAGCTTACAGTTCGTCCTGGGGGTCCGGGAGGCCCCTGAAAGAAGGGCGAGGGAAGCGGGTTAAGGGGAGCTGGCGCAGCCCCGGGGAGGGCAGGGCTGGCTCCGGGGTGGGGGCCAGCCACGTGGCCCCGTGTCACTCACCGGCTCCCCACGGTCACCCTTGCTCCCTGGTGCTCCGGGACTGCCCTGCGGGCAAGAGGGATGGGATGAGGAGAGAAGGGAATGGGGGACCCATGGGGTCCCGTGGGGTGGAGGGTACTCCTGGGGTAAAAGTGGGTGAGGGGCAATAGGGTGTGTGGGGTGGTGGGTGTCCACGGGGCAGTGGGCGCACATGAGGGGGTAC